ACGGAGGGAGTATAAGAAAAGTGACGTTGAGTACACAATTTCTCAATGTTTGCTAATAATATGTGGTTATTGCCTTATTGGGTCTAATGGACCATCAGACAATTTCCAAAACACGGGCTTTATCGCATATATATTAAGGGCTAATTTTGAGCAGGTCCAGATCAATGTATCCTTGGGCTTGCACAATCCAACAATAACCGAATCTCAAAGTCCAACAATGACCGTAACTATGGCCCACTGGTAACAGTAGAATGGTCTTCCCGCAGAAACGTGCTGGAAAGAGTTAGATGCTCCACTGTTCTTACCATTAGGCTTCTGTGTTTCGTCTTTGGAAGCCCTTTTCGAATCATTTCATATTGTCTTGATGATCAACTACTTTTTTGTCCCAATGATATTGAGTGGGAAGGGTCTTTCCCAATTTGGTTAGTTAGCCTAGCCAAGACAGATGTACGAGCAGTTGCTCATCCTTTGTAGTTTTTTGAGTATTAATGAAAGCTGTTACCGTTTGAAAAAAAAAAAAAAAAAAAAACTACTTTTTTGTCCCAGAACCAATCGGTGGGCCTTTGATGCTAACATCTTTTATATCGGCAGCCATCATACCTTACAAAAAAATCTTTCGTACAACATAAAATTAATGGAAATGTTGGATTTGCAGCAATAGTGTGAAAATCATGACTCGGGAGAATAGATATTATCTTCAGTCGGTTCAGTGAATTGGGGCAAGCAAAGATTAGGATTTTAATTTAGGTTCAAAAAAAAGAATCCAATGTCATATTTGCAGAAAATAAAAATAAAATAGGGTGTAGCCAGGAAGACTGATGTTCTAGTACCAATCAAGTTGCACATTGAAATGTCAAAAAGTGAACTGGGGCAAAAATACAGGTATAAAGGCCCACATAGTTAATGTGGTAGTTGAATGATTGATTTAAATTAGGGAAATTTGCCAAATTGGTCCCTAACATTTACCAAAAACACTTTTTTAGTCCTTTACATATAAAATCAGCCAAAATGGTCCTTCACATTTAAATTGTGAGCCAATGTGGTTCTATTGCTCGTTTTTGCTCATTTCTCCGGCTAAAAATAGCACGCCTCTCTCACGTGGTCATATTTTTAGGGGCAAAACCGGAAACACATTTCATTACCTGTTAAAAGTAAAAGGTGTGGACAACCACCAAAATACACATTTCACCTTTGGCCCTCAAAGTTTCAAGAAACCCTAAATTGCATCCCACCGCCACGCCCTCAACTGACTCAGCCGCCTCCTCCCTCGCTATCCCTTCTCCTCTCTCCACTGTCCGTCCTCCCCCTCCCCCTCCTCATCGCCAGCATTTCTCCAACCTCCGGCAAGCTCTCTCATTCGACGATGATATTGATGCGAGGGACTCGCAAGACGAGGGAGAGGATGAGGAAGAGCACCAGGAGGACGAGGAGGAGCTTCTCGAGCTGGAGCCCCGAATCGGATCTTGCCGGGTCCGGGAAGCTGCTGATGAGTTGTCTGTGGGAGGTGTTGAGGAGGCTCCCGCCTCCAACACTGTTGTCGGCGGCCAGGGTTTGCAAAGGATGGAGGGACACGAGTAAGCGGCTTTGGCGGGCGGCGGAGGAGCTGAGGCTTAGGGTTCCAGCTAAGGCCCAAATTGGATTCGTGGGATCGATGTTGCACAAATGTCCTGGACTTGTTAGACTCTCACTTAGAATGGAAAGGCTAGGACTTCCGGATATAAGTAAACAAGAACCAGATCTATGGATTCATCAAGCACATCACTTATACAGGAGAATTACAAAATAATTTTCGCCACCATTCGGGGATGCAATTCAGTTTTCTTGAAACTTTGAGGGCCAAAGGTGAAATTTGTATTTTGGTGGTTGTCCACACCTTTTACTTTTAACAGGTAATGAAATGTGTTTCTGGTTTTGCCCCTAAAAATATGACCACGTGAGAGAGGCGTGCTATTTTTAGCCTGAGAAATGAGCAAAAACGAGCAATAGGACCACATTGGCTCACAATTTAAATGTGAAGGACCATTTTGGCTGATTTTATATGTAAAGGACTAAAAAAGTGTTTTTGGTAAATGTTAGGGACCAATTTGGCAAATTTTCCTTTAAATTATTTAATTAGTCCGCAAATGAAATTACACCCCACTTTTTTTTTTTTTTTTTATGGGAATCGTGCCTTCAATACTACGCATAGATCTTCAATCTTGATTGTACCATGTCCACCCGATGCAATTTAATTTGTGGTAGCCAACTTCACTTAAATTTGAATGTAAAGTTTATTCAATTCCATTTTCATTTCACACTCGCAAACATTAGAGCAAATTATCTAGGTGGCCATCAAACTTTTAAAATCATTAAATTTTGATTATTGAATTAATAAAAGTTTGATTTTGGTTACTGAACTATTTAAAGTTTAGATTTTAGGTCATTTCGTTAGATTTAATCGTTAAACACGATAGATCGGAGTGCTCATACAATTCATGAGACTAAAGAAAATGATATAGTTAACGATTAAATGTGACAAAATGGTTTGAAATCTAAATTTTAAATGATTTAGTGATCAAAATCAGACTTTTAATAATTTAGTGATAAAAAATCAAAGATTTCAAAAGTTTAGTGACTATCGGATAATTAAGATGTCAGAATTTATTAAGATGTCCTTGGAGCAGCTCAAAATATTAATAATGGTACTTTTATGGCACGTTGTTCTTTCGTTGCATTTATTTTGCTGTACATACGTATATTGGTAGGGAAAATAAAAAGAGGAAATGCATAACAAATTTTTACTCATTTTGTGTTGTTTTGAACTTAATTATAACACAGATTTTAGGAGAAGAATGGTTTAGATATTAAAAGTCTAGGACATCTCGAGGACAGTTTTCAAATATTATTATTGGGCTGTACGAACAAAGGGAGAGTATTTTTCACCGTTCTTCTGAAGCGCAATTTTTTTTCCCTTTTTGATTTTATGTCCATATTTTATTGATAAGCTATAGCTTTGGAAAATTCCCTAAAGCACACCCTATGCCTATACCTCAGAGAAACTGTACAAATGTATTATTTAGTTTGGACTGAGGAATTTGATGAAAGATTTAAAAAAATTCATCGAATCGCTGTTGTTGTTTAAATTATTTTAAAATCATTTGAATGTATAATAAATCAATTATCAAAATACATTTTAAACATTATAATAATTTGTGATTCACAAGTTCAAATGCATCTTAAATAGTTTAAACAATTAGAGAAATCTTTCATGAAATCTCTCAATCCAAATGAAGAGTAAGAGAGTTTGTTTGTTTTTTCTCATTATTTGAAAAAAAAATTAGAATTTGTTTAGGGAAAATCATAAAAAAAAGTGTTCTGAAATATAAGAAATCCAATTACAATCATGCTATGGAGTTTTCAATCCCTTTTCTGGCGCCATTGAGTCGACTATATGAACGAGACAAGTTTTTTTCTGTTTTAAGTGCATGTAATGTTGGGATAAAGCGCCGAAGTATTAACGAGTATGGGACATAATCAACAGTTACATGGGATCCCGTAAAGCTGAAACCATTGCGCTTGAAAGATGCATATTTTTTAACCCCCCTAGTAGATTTAAACTTTAGCAGAGTCTTGGAATCAATAAATACTATGGTTAATAAGAGAAGAAACAAAGATTTCATGCATATAATTCGGTCACTGACCTGATTAATTGAGCATTTTTTCTTTGTACTTTTAGCTCTTTCCGGTAACTGAACAACGTTGGTTGGTTCAAAACAAAAGCTAATATTCAGTTCTTGACAGTCATAGACTACAAATATAGAATCATCCAATTAATGCTACTGCTACAAATCTTTATGCTAATGTTCAAGGTCTGACTGATGAAGTTTCCTCAACCTTAGCCAACTTTAATTCTCAAACTGGGAGGTGGTAGCTTCTACGAAAGGAAAAAGCTCAGATTCTTTGATAAAGAAAGTGAAATGGGCAGATAATTAAGAGAAATACAAGAAGACATGCGGCCTTCAATGCTACACCACAGAGTACAAAGGAGCAATCTAGTTAAGAATAATTCGCTGCAATTTTTGTAGCAAAATTAGAAATTGTTCACGTATAAGATCTGGTCCGATTTTAGACACCTTTCTCATGAAAAAGTAGGATAGATAGAGAATATGAATGTCTGACTTCATTTAATTTATGATTTATGTTGCTAATTATTCAAGATTTTGAAATATATATATATGTGTGTGTGTATCTATACATATGTATACATACATACATATATGTGTGTACTTATGTATGTATGGTGGAATTCAACAAATATTAAGATTGAAATATTTGAAATGAAGTCAATTTTGTGCAAATTTTATTCTAATCTAACATCTAAATATTGATTATATATAAAAACTTAAAAAATAAACTAATATTTCATTATGACTTGTATAACAGATAGTGACATCATAATTTTTTTCCTAACTATTTTGAGTGGAAGGGTATTCTGATAAATTTAAGAAAAAAGTACTTTTATTCATGGTGTACCTGTATCATTAACATTGATGAAAGTCTATATAAAAGTTGCCCTACAAAAAATCAAATTTCAAGCCAAAGTCCTATCAAACTAAATAATCAAATTACAAATCAAATAACATGGCACGACAACTTGTAGATTATATGTTGTTGTTAAGATTTAAATCTAAAAATTTAACTAATTTCCAATATATTCCGAGTAGAAATCACTTTCATTTTGGACATTGTTTGGATACTCTAGGTAGGGGGTATTGCCATGACGCTAGCCAAATACAGTACCAGGCTTCTACTACTAGGTTTCTGCCTCAATGTCAACAACCGACCCAATTGATGCCTCCCCAATAGTATGGATCCCACCATTCCATGTCCCCTGTGTCAACAGCCATTACAAAAATGCAACAAGACATAGGGCCCTGGATGCGACACAACAACCAGCGTACAAAAGAGCAAATTAACAATGGTACTATATATTCACGCTTAAGATGAATTCGATTTTTAATTGCCAACCTTCTCGTGAATAGAAAATCGTATAACCCTAAAAACCCAACAATTTATAAACCTTAAAGCTTGGTTTCATCAATCAACCAGTTAGATATGATAGGTTTTCACCTTAATCTGATCAAGCTAACAAGCTCAAGTCCACTATATAAAGCATAGGTTGAGGCAGCACAGCATGCACAATACACACGGCATAACTTTCTCAATATCTAGGTCATGGCTTCTCTGACCATGCCAACTCTCTCCTCCAACCTTGCCTATTCCTCCTCTATAGCACATTTCATCTCACTTGCAAAACCCACTCACCCAAATCGCAAAACAGGCCCAAAACTTACATGCAATTCCACAAAAGGTGACCAAAACTCCAGTGATCATGACACTGCAGGCTCCAAAAATGGAGAAACTTCTTTACTGAAGCTTGATAGAAGAAATGTGCTACTTGGCATTGGAGGAGGGCTCTATGGTGCCTCCACTTTTGGTGGCAATCCATCAGCCTTTGCAGCACCACTATCTCCAACATTCACAGCCTGTCACGATTCCACTGACCCCGACAACAAAGAAATCGACTGTTGTCCACCCTCGGCCACGGCCGCGGATATCACTGATTTTGTTCCTACTGCTCCTTCTGTCATCGCCACTAGACCTGCGGCGCAACTAGTCGACTCGACTTATTTGAAAAAGTACAAGACGGCCATAGAGAAAATGAGGAATCTAAGTTCGGATGATCCACGTAGTTTCACTGCACAAGCAAATGTGCATTGTGCATATTGTAACGGTGGATACTATCAAGATGGCTATGCAGATTCTAAACTTCTATTGGATGTTCACAACTCATGGCTCTTCTTTCCCTTTCACAGATGGTACTTGTATTTCTTCGAGAAGATATGCCAAAACATGGTCGATGACGATACTTTTGCACTTCCCTTTTGGAACTGGGATAATCCACCTGGGATGTTTCTGCCAGCCATTTTCAAAGACTCCTCATCCTCACTCTATGATAGCTTACGCAATCCCTCTCACCTAAATACAGTTCTTGATCTGTCCTATGAAGGCACTGATTCAACGGATAGTACCATAACAGTGATAAGAAACAATCTCTACCTCATGTACAAGCAAATGGTTACTCAGTCCACAACTCCATTGAGTTTCTTCGGAAAAGCGTTTCGTGCTGGTGAAACATCTGATCCAGGAGAGGGTTCAATTGAAACTAGTCCTCATACGAATGTGCACCGTTGGACCGGCGACCCTAATGAATCTCATGGCGAGAACATGGGCTCCTTCTACTCAGCGGGAAGAGACCCAGTCTTTTATAGTCATCATGCCAACGTTGATAGAATGTGGTCTCTTTGGAACTCTTTAGGAGGCCAGAACTTCACTGATTCAGACTGGTTAAACTCCAGTTTCTATTTCTACAACGAACAGGCAAAGCCTGTAAAGGTTTACGTGAAAGACTGTTTGGACACCTCAGTTCTTGGATACACTTATCAAACTGTGGATATCCCCTGGCTGAATAGTAAGCCAAGCCCGCGTAGGACGGCTATCGCATTACCAACAGCTCCTACTCCAAGTCAAGTGTTTCCAACGACCCTGGAGAAAGCTATAACTGTTCTGGTGAAAAGGCCAAAGAAGAAGAGGACCAAGAAGGAGAAGCAGAGGGCAGAGGAAGTTCTGGAGATATCTGGGATCCAGTACAATATTGGAGAGTTTGTCAAGTTTGATGTGTACATCAATGAAGATACTCCGGACGAGAGCGGGCCGGAGAAGACTGAGCTTGTGGGGAGCTTCATCAACGTGCCTCATGGACATTCCATGATTTCTACTACTACTAAGAGTTTTGCTATATCTGAAGTTTTGCAGGAATTGGGAGCTGATGAGTTTGAGAGCGTCTTGGTTACTTTGGTCCCCAAGAGTAGCACTGTTACCATCTCCGGAGTCAAGATCAAGTTTGATAACACCAAGGTGTCTGCATGAGATTTTAAAAAAAAAATTTAATGGTGTGCTTCATATATGTGTGTCTTGCATGCTGTTTTTTGTTTCAGATGTTGTGATTTCTGTGTCCTCCCTCAACCAATTAGGGCCTTGAATCTACCTTTATTTCCTTTTGATATGGTTCGGAAAGCTATCTTATCTTACCGGATCATGCATGAGGAGTACTGTGATGTGTCTACCTAAATAAACCTGCATGGGGATTGTGAATTGTGATATACCTGTCTAAATAAACCCCGAAAGGCAGTGAGGGAAAGAAAAGAAGAATGCAGTATTTGCACCCTTCTTTTTTGTGTTGTTAAATGCTATGTGAACCTGTTTCATGATGTGAGATTACATTATTGGGTTAGTAGAGGCTTTGATTTGATTTAAAACGGTTTTCTTTGAGAATCTATTGCGTATTTACGATGTTAATTAATAGGGTTTACACGTCTTGAACATTCTTTTTGTCTGCCCAATCAATTATTTAATTACAAATGCGGCTGTTTTTAAGTTCATGTTAGGATTTGTGGAATGACAAATTGATAATCCCAGGCGAAAAGGCTACTTCTAATCTTGGAGGTCATGTTGCTATTCCAAAGATTGAGGTTACGAGAAAATAAATTAAGGAGGTTGGGAGGTGTAATAGATTAAATGCTTGCACAACCAACACAAGTACCTCGGCAACATTTATTAGCTAATGATTGACCATACATTTTCACAACTCTGTAATATCATATCGGCTTTCCTACATTCACCAGTTGCAGCTCAACTAAGAATCAAGCCAAAAAAGAAGCGTGTTTTGGATCTTAAAATATCATTTCTCATCATTGTAGAATTTAATTTCTTTAGATTCCTTCAACCAAAAAAGCAAAAGAAGAAGAAGAAGAAAAAAGCTATGATTACTTTCCCAGAAAGGCGTTCAAGATGACTTATTTTGCTCTTTCAGCAAGAAACAATCACGACTTGTCGTACTAACCATCAGGGTAATTCTTAAATTCTTAAAAGGAGTACTTTTTAATGAATTATTGCGTTGTATCATTAGTTTTAATGATTTGTACCATTACTACTAGAATCTATAGAAGATCTAAATTTGGAATGGAAAGCCCGGATACCGATTGGGTTGAGCCCCCGCATTGGGTGTGTTTGGATAGGTTTTATTTGTAAAAAAATTTATTTGTTTGCATCACAAATATATTTTTTAACACATTTTTTTTTGCTTTTTCGATTACCTTCTAACCTTACATACATCATTTCAAGAAAAAAAATGCTACAATAATTACTTTAAATAATATTTTAAATAATCTTTTATTCAAATTCGCACAGCTCCGTATGGATTATGTATTTTTTGGGGTATTTTTCAAAACTTTTTCTGTAGTGGTGGATATGCCAAATTTTGCTATAGATGGTTATGTATTTTTGGAAGTGTTTCTAAGAATGTATTTTCAGGTATTTTTAGAATTTAAATTTTTTTGACGTATGTTTCAAAAATTAAACACCATCACCCACCACCACAACCTACCTTTGCCACCACCCCTTACCCACCACCACTACCTACCTTTGCCACCACCCCTCGCCCCCTCCTTCCTCCTTCTCTCTCCTCCCTTTCCTCCCTTCGCCTCATTCCTCCTCTGATCGCGATCAATTGGGGGAAGGGAGGGCATAGGAGAGGCTGGGCAAGAGAAGAGAGCGAGGAGGAGGAGGAGGAGGAGGAGGAAGGAGGGGATGGGAGGGAAGGAAAGAGAGGAGGAGAAAAGAAGTGAGGAGAGAGGAAGAAGAATGGAGGCGAGGGGTAGTTGGTGATGTTGGTAGGTGGAAAAAGAAAATGTGGTTGGGTTTATTTTTTATTTTTTTGTAAGATATATTTTAGATTGTGTGTGTTTTTGAAGTTATTTTTAGAATTGCTATTGCATACTCCAAATGCAAAAATAGTTTTTGAAAAACTTTCCAAATCCATGTAAACCCAATAAACTTGCAGCGGCTACTAAGAATGCCCAGATACTAATTCAACCTACGAAAGCCCCGATTATTCTAATTAAATAGCGAGTCCATCTGTATTAGTTACACCAGGTAAAGGTCTTAGCCAGTTTTTCATTTTACTTTTTAGTAACAGGTCTTAGCCAGGTTAAATGAGTAGTCTTGACACAACATTGAAGAAATAGCTAGATATGAAGTACATCTTCCTTTTCTTTTTTTAAAGCATAAATGAGATCAAGTGTATGATGTAGTCAATCAAATTCAAACATGAACTTGCCAAGAAAATGAAATAACAAAATATCAAAGTATTAAGAGGTGCTTTTCATTTTTAAAATATCATATTTAAAATGTTTGGAAAGCTACAAATCATTCCCAAATCCAATGCCAAAAATGGGTTCAAATAATAAATCTTAGATTTAGAGTTTTTAGACTAAATCATATTTCTCCCCTGAAGTCTTCCGTCCATTCACGTCAAGCTTTTCATTTAACTTATTTCTCTGTTTTCTGCTTCCAAATGACAGTTCCAAGCAAGTAAACAATATTCGTGCAACAAATTAACACATGGCAATTCGGAAATTTTACCTGCTTGTTCTGGACACAGAGAAAACATCCTCCAACTTTAGAATGGATGAGGAATTGAGAGAATTTGAGGAGGACAGACGATCACGAAAATGTGTTGGTGACTTTGGTCCAAAGAGAGGTGCTGTGACCATAATACAGAGTCTCATACTAAAATAGAAAACCATCTGCTGTTACATTTTACAGCATATTGGAAATGGAAAGAAAGTTGCAAGAAATTTTGAACCTCGACAGAAAATTCGAAAGAAAAGAAAGAACCAAAAATCCGAATTTAAGAGCAAGGTGAGTTTCAATAGCACCAACGGTTACAGCACCACTCTCTAGTTTCTGCACCAAAGACACCAACACACTTTGATAATCTTCAAATGAATCATTCTCATCCTTTCTCCTTTCGAAAAGATACTTGTTCTTCCCTAAGAGCCCGCATTCGAATTAGCACTAATCGGTACAAACTTGGCATGTCCGTATAATTAAGTAGGCTTGTTGATCCTTGGGGCCTTTTATCTTTCAATTGTTTGTACTACTTGGTTGTACTACGCTACTAAACAGACTGAAAACTCACAAGAAAGAAAATAGATAATTGGTACTACACACGTCTCATGCAGTTTGTACTTCGTACTAGAATGCTTGTTGGTACTACACATTTGATTCTTGGAAGGCCATAGGTTAGACATTTCATACATCTTTTTAATTGTTCATAAAATTTTTTAACCTTTTTAATCTATTTTTTAAGTGTATCTAGGTAGCTTGCATTGCATGTGTAAGCTGAGAAGATATCCTCTCCTCAGCCTGCAGGACTTCACCTATGCCTTTTCTTATCAATCTCCTTTTTTTTTATTTCACAAAATTCCTTAAATTTACAGCACAGCATTCTATAGAACAAAACCGCAGCTCTACTATCCAACTACAAGATTAATACTACTATTTATATTCAAACACAAGATTATTACTTATTAAAAGAACAACATCAAACTATATAAAAGCGGGAGTTGGAGAATGAACAGTGCCATTTTGGTTGAGCAGTTATCACGTAATTTTCAGCAACTTTGATGGCTTTTGTATTTGTTGGTTTTGTCGGCTTTTCGGCAACTCCATTTGCATCAGTCTTTGGCAGTTCCTTATGTCATTAGAATTAGCCTTAGTAATCCTTCATTTTTCGCTAATGCCATTTCCGATTTCTGCCTTACTCAGGAGACCGAAAGACGCATATTATAGTTGTGTGGTCTCTTTGTAATTTATTTGTTCTTTGTTCCTCTTTGTTTGCATCATTTTTGCCTATTGTGATCCGCAGAGACAGGCCATCTTAGCTATTCTTGAGTATTAGTTTAGCCTTAGGTTTGTCTTATTTTTCAGTTATGCCATCCCTTTTTTCCTTCGTTCAAGCTGCATGCTATAATTGCTTGATTGTTTGGTAATTTTGTTGTCTTCTGACCCTATTTTTTGTTGACTCATTGTTCCTTTTTGTGGAAAATTGCCATTTTGACTTTGAGTAATCTACTGTTTTGTGCCCCGCATGGATGGTACAGCGGTAGCACCTCTCAATGGTGACCGCAAGGTCTCGAGTTCGAGTTTCTGCTCTGCTAGATTCCTCCGCGCACTTATCGTACTAGGGTCGGGTTGAGGCGCCAGGCCTGGGCCGCAGGGGATTAGTCGGGTCCCGTAAGAATTGACCCAGAATTTCCACATTTTCCTTCCTCTTAATCATGATGCTTGTTAAATTTTTCCCATTTTTACTTTTATTCATGCTTATTTATATTCTTTTATTTTACTAAATATCATATGCCTTTTATATTCTTTGTTGCCTACATTCTTTACATCTAACTATACAATCAATATATTTATGTGATTTAATGTTATTATATACCCTTTTATTTAGGCTCTTTAAGTTGGAATGTTGAATTTAGTGATATTTTTTACTTTTAAACAAAATTTAAAAGTTAGTCTTGTATTTTTAGTAGAAAGTTAATTTTGTGGTTAATTATTTGCTTATGAAGTATTCTGTAAATGCACAATTATTGAAGAAACAATTAATAAATTATTGTTGGCTTAAAATGAAATAAAATTGTTAAGTGTTCTGTAAAGACACAATTATTGAGGAAATAATTAATAAATTATTATTGGCATTAGTTGTGAGAACCCGTATTTTTCCCATTTTCTAGGTTTTATTATTTTTCATGACTTGTTTTCTGCATTTTCGTGAGTAGGAAAAATTTCTAGATAATTTTAAGGAGCAGATATAATTTTTAGATGTTTTTTCTAGTATCAAATAGTTTTTGAGAAATTAAAAGCGTATACCGGACGTGGGACCCACGAGTGCGAAAAGTTCGAAAAAATTCGGCTAATTAGGTTAAGTTTTGAATATTGGAATTAATTTACCGGGTGCTAAGAGATAATTAGAGGAGGCTAAGTGGATTGGTATAAGAATGACAAATTAGGTAAGTATTTAATAAAATGTGACAAGTGTCATCATTTGAGTGGTTTATCTTTAAGACCACTATTCATGGTCTTATCATTTGACTTAAATAAACAAAAAATGACCAAAAATCCTCCATAAGTGGCCGGCTCTCTCTTTCTCTCTCTCTTACTCTAAGCACAAGGAAGAAAACTCTTCAAGCTTGCTCCAAATCATCAAAACCAACCATTGAAACTTGCAATTTCTCCATAAAACCTCTTCAATTAGTGTTTGTGAGTTGTTGTGTGAAGTTATTTGGAAAGTTAAGGTGACCAATTGCTCTCTCTCTCTTGTTTTTAAGGTGAGTTGTGAAGAACCACCCTCCTACCTTAATTGATGCTTAAATCATGATTAGTGGTAGTATGAGATGCAATATTATGGATTATTTCTTGATTTGTGGTTGAAGTGATGAAGTTTTATTATTTTTGGGGATTGTTCTGTTTTGATATAAGCATGATTGTGTGGCTATCTATGATGATTGGAAATGGTATATAATGACTCTAGGAAGTGGAAAAAGTGGGTAATTACAACCAATTTCTATTTTGGAAGAAATTTTGAAAAGTTAGGGTTTATGAAGGAACATTCTGCCCGAATTTATAGCTCCTAGTTAGAGGTCGAATTGGCCTTGGTTTAAAACATGAAAGTTGTAGGGAATGACATTTTAGAGGTGCCTACAAAATTTCAGGTTAATCGGAGTAGCGTAGAATGAGAAAAGTCAAAATTACTATTGCTGTTCTGGTTTTACCCGAATGTAAGAATTGCGCCTGTAATTGGTTGTTTTGGCTGGAATTGCTTCCGAATTGGTTGTTGAGGCCTTCTGATGAAATTTAGCCCTGTTTCTTAGCTTTCAGCTGGTTTTGGAATTTCTGGATTTGAACTTGGAGAGCCTGAGTTATGATGTTTCCGCTAGAATGCGTTTTGTGAATCTGTTTTTATGGTTTTGATGTAGTATCTTGCATTTTTGACCTATTTGCACTCAAAACTGGGTTGAGTGACCTTTTGTGATGTTGTAACCCTATCTGTTAGCTTCGAATCGGTGTATCGTACATCTTCATCCGATAATCGTAGTGAAATTGATGCCATTACCGCAAAACGAGGTCAAAAATTATTTTTTTTCAGGGCCAAAGCTAATTGCCTTTCCAAATTTTCTATTTTCCTCTATTTTTTGTGTATGTTTAGGGAACCCTATTTTGGTAGTATGTAGAATTGGTTTATGACTTATAATCGAGTCTTATTGTATTTATTTGAATAGTTTAGGGCTTGACTTTTATATCCGGTCATTTTCTAACTAAATTTTGTACTTGAATGCCATTAAACCTAGTGAACGGCTTTTGGGAATGAGATTATTTTTGTACGAGATGTTGGGACTGATTTGAGGACATAATGAAGCCATGATTGCTGGAAAATAGGTAAAAACAAGGAATATGTTGCCGAAATTTTTCTTGGAGGCTAGTTGGATTTACTTGTGATTTGAACGAAGGGCTTTTGGGTTGTTTGAGTCTAGGTCTTCATGTTACCTTTTCGTTACCAAAAAATTATGTTTTGCACCCTTACTTTAGTAATTATTTGGCGAGGCATACGACTGGTAGTCGAGTCTCACATGTGCATTATGTATACTCGATTTTGAAAGTGGAACCTTCAATTGTTTTTCTTGGATTATTTTAGGGTTTCTTGGTGATTAAAACTCTCTTTTGGGAGGTATCTGCACTAACCCTGGTGAGTGTACTACTCACTTGTGTGTTACTATATGGCTTTGAATGTAAATTGCTTGAAGTTAATTGAATGTGACTTGATTGAACTGAAAGTGTACTTTATCACTCTCACTTATATGCCTTATATCATTGTTGTCATGTTATTGGAATGTTACATGAAATGTTACATGAAATGAAAGTACTTGACTTGGTATCGATTGGACGAGTATCCAACGACTACAAATGTTATCATTGAGCTCAACCCCATTGGTAGTTGATTGAATCGAGCCGGCGAGGGTTTGGTCGTGCCAATTAATGAACATTGGGTAAAGTTATATGGAATCTTGTAGTATGCGAGACTTTCGATTCCGGTATACTCGAGTAATACCAAAGTGCAAGTGTTTGGATTTCGGCCCCGGTAGGGGGATGTTAGGTGGAAGGAGTGGAAGTAAAGTGGAGTCTACGGTTGGTTACTTTTGAACATTGACGGAGAGTCAATGACGTCCGATCAAGAAATGCAAACGAGGAAAGGGCTCTTGAGAGCCATCCGTATCCTTTTATCACCATATTTGACGTGTGCCTTTGCTTATTTTTACTATATCGAATGAAAGCTTGATGCTTATATGCACTTGGTTGCGTAAGTGATAGTATCTCACTGGGCAATTAGCTCACACCGTTCCTTTTGTTTTCCTTACAGGAATATGACTCTTTTTGGAATGAATCTTGATAGATGGTTGCCGAATGAACTAGATGTATATTTCTTTTGTATTGTATATGAAGTGAAACCCTAAATGTATCTTTAGGGCCGTTTTCACTTTCAATTTGGCAAACTGTATATATATTAACTTTTGAAAACTTTTGTATACCACTTTGGGTTGTAATTACTAAAGTTCAAGATGTGAATGTCTGCTTGCATTTTTGGTTGGGTTCTGACGGGTCGGTTACTATTCATGGCCGACTCCGAATTTCATTTTTTTTTATTTTGGGTTATTTTGCCCTTTTGCCTTGTTTACGCGCGTTATAAGTTTCGGAACGCAATAGATCGCTCTAAACTGCACCGTTAGTTCTGGCGAGAGTTGGGCAGGCAGTCCTCTAACCCCTTTAGTTCGCCTTAGGGGAAGGTGGAGCTGTCACATTAGTGGCTTTAAAAAATGAATTTTATTACTGTGACATGAAATAAAATTGTTTGCAAAAAAAATGAATGCATATATTGCAAAAAAAATGAAATAAAATAGTGTTCTGTAAAATTGTTAAATGCAGTGGTTGTTTAGCATGTTTAGGAGTAGCTTTTGACTGCACGATTCCTAAAAATTGAACAGCGGAAAAAGAAAAA